TGTTTTTGAGCTTTCTATGAACTCAATGAATCAACTTTGATTTCTTGGCACATGGACAGCAGGTTTTGATTCTTCAGGAGTAAAATTTCAGTTCTACAGCTCTGTGTACACAGTAGTTTACACTGAGCCAGGGAACAGAGTGCTGCACTTGCAAGGGAGATCAGGTCAAATCTGTTCCCAGCATTCAGGCTGGAAGTGGAAGAACCCTATGCATGTTCTTGGAGGAGAGTGAGAATGAAAAGACAACAAACAGATGAAATGTTAAGAACATAAGAGAAGCCAATGTTGGATCAGGCCAATGCCCCATCCAGTCCAACACTCTTGTCACACAGTGGCCAAAAATGCCAGGTGCCATCAGGAGGTTCATCAGTGGGGCCAGGACATTAGAAGCCCTCCCACTGTTGCCCCCCCCCCCCAAGCACCAAGAATACAGTGCATCACTTGCCCCAGCCTGAGAGTTCCTATCTATACCTTGTGGCTAATAGCCACTGATGGACTTCTGCTCCATATGCTTATCTAATTCCCTCTTGAAGCCGTCCATGTTTGTAGCCACCACCACCTCCTGTAGCAGTGAATGCCATGTGTTAATCACTCTTTGGGTGAAGAAGTACTTCCTTTTATCCGTTCTAACCCAACTGCTTAGCAATTTCATTGAGTGCCCACGAGTTCTTGTATTGTTATTCTGTACGAAGCAAGTCCATCTTTGAGTTGCAGTCATATAGCTAAACAGATGCTGTTAATTTTAAATCAAATGTATTATAAGTATAGCCCAAGCATCCCTTCCATCCTGCCTGCTTTTTAATTCTGTGCCAGATGTTGATATGAGGTAGCTGCAACAGAGAAGCACTCACTCACTGCTACACTACTGTAACAATTTGTCAGTGGTTCTCTGTTACACCATTCTGGATCAGCTTGTAAGGCCACTGCTATGATGAGATTGTGGCAGGCTGATGCAGATTGAGACTTTACATTTATTTACATGGATGGCAAGTTGAAAGTACTGGGCTGGGGCAGTAGATTTTAGATAGTTATTAGCAACAGAAATCCTCCCTCATGTCTTGAGAAGGAATTCTTGCATGTGGAGCATTTACTTACAGTACTGGTGAAGGAGAGACTACCTCACGCTTTGATTTAATAATCCAAGTAATACTGGTCATTGAAAGGTTGTGGGAATAATTTCACATAATTCAAATGCAAATCCCAGTAAGAGCATAACCTTTAAATCATTCAAAGTAGTAGGTGTGAATTAAGGGAGATAATAATATTAGGCTGTGTGGGTCAATCACCTCACTTTGGGGCTTTTACCATCAGTAGTGGCAAAATACTAGGTGTGTGGTATTATCAAAGAGATGCCTCACCCCCTGGTAAGTGAGTGTCAGTCAACCATCCTCTAATGAAAAAGGGACCTGTCCCTGCAGTAGATACTCTGTGTGTGTGTGCATGCGTGCGTACACATAACCTCACTTTTATTCAGGAGAAACCTTACTACTTTTGGTTTATATGACTGTGATCAGTGAAATTGTGGTGATGGTCAACAGTGAGCACAGGAGGATGAAACTCTGGATTTAGGTTGTTATCAGTAGCCACCCCCCAAAAAAGATATATATAGAAAAACGCATGTACTTTAAGACATTTAACAGGGAAACCTTTTTTTTTCAATGTTAGTCTCCGGTGTAGTCTCCAGTTCGTCTCCACTGTTCAGTCTCCACTTAGGCAGATGCATGACAGTGTCCTTCCAGCACAACAATGAATGGGTATACAGTTGCTTTCACATCAAATACTTACATAATTTACTTTTACAGTAACCTAGACATGTATGTAGCAGCTCCAGTCAATTAATAATTACAGGAAAAGAGTGTCTCCCTGGTCCACTAGCAATGTATTAGCATTTCACTTTCACTGCTTGGGATAGATATGAAGTGTTGTGATTTCAGTGCAAAAAGACCCATGCTTCCCAGTAAGTGGGTCCAATGCCCATCTGTTGGCACTCCTTTGAACACACACACACACACACACACACACACACACACACACACACACCCCCTTAGATGTCTTTTCAGTTTAGAAGAAGGTAGGGAGGTTTGGGTTGTAAACTGTAATTAGACACAGGCTTTCACAGCAAACCTCTGTTCTAACAATACGCTTTTAAAACTGTTTTGAGTAAGTTGATTCCTTGAAGCTCAAGGTCTGGATTAAATTCCCTTTCTGGGTCTGTCAGTTATTTCAGTGCTAATATCTTTAGATTAAAAAAAATACAGCTAGGAAGTGCAAAGGGGAGCTCTGTTACGGGCTGGTCCATTCATGGTCAGATGTGGCCAAACATCTGTGCACAATTTAAACAGCTAAGCTGACCATTGTCCAAAAATATTTCGTACTCATTTCTAATTCAGTGGTTACAGTGCTGTACAGCAGACCACCCATGTTTGCGCATAAATAACTCAGCTCTTGCAAATGCTCAGTGTACAGAAAAGCCCTTGTTTCCCTATCATAAAAGGACACTTCTCTGAGGCACCCTATTCCACACCAACTGCTCCTGATTTTTACCCAGAGGTCATAAATAGTGATAACTGTATTTCAAGATGGAAACACACTGGTCAATATAGATAAATATTAAATTAAGAAACATTCTACCCACTTGGGCATCTCAGGATCATTATTTTACAGTTAAGTTTGCCTTCTTGATTATTGCCAGTCCAGTAATGACTACAAACAGGGGTAGCATTCCATCATTAGACTTGAGTTAGCAGGATGTGTTTTGGTCTTAGAATTTTTTATAGGAATATCATTTCCAGTCTATGAATGACAAGTAGAAAAAATCCAGCAAGCAAGGTGCCACAATATACCACCAAATAAGCTGAAGCTTACTGATTTGGAAGTGATCAAGTAATTTCTTTGATTAAAAAGTGAAGCTAGGCAAAGGGTGCTTCAGAAGCACACAATTCCTCAGACTGAATCCTGGCAGATTCAGTCGCCACCTTAGCTGGGTCACTGCTTGTTGTCATTGTTACACAAAATGGCAGGAAGGAGACAACCCTAAAAGAGAATGCACCTCCTGTTTCAGGGTATTTGAACAGCCATCACTATTTCAGCGTGACAATAGTTCCCCCCATTTCCAGTCTGCCTGATACACACGATTTACCAGTGATCAGATGGGGACTGTCCCCTTCCTCTGCCTTCAATGTATTGTTGCAGGCTGAGCCACTATGCTGGTCATGTGCCACACTGCTACAAAACCTCAGAAAAGCCTACGTGTGGAAACAAGTTTGCTCTCCGCCTTCATATGTGTTCCACTGTGGCTTACAGAGAACCAATAAGGATTTCTTCAAAGAGAAGCAGGAAACTGGCCAAGGAGGCAGCCCTTGAAGGGCAAAGGGTAAAATACTTGCTAAAGGAAGAGTTAGGATTCCAGGTAGTTAGGACTCAGGGGCACTCCATGAAATTGCTGAGCGGTCGGGTTAGAACGGATAAAAGGAAGTACTTCTTCACCCAAAGAGTGATTAACACATGGAATTCACTGCCACAGGAGGTGGTGGCGGCTACAAACATGGACGGCTTCAAAAGGGAATTAGATAAGCATATGGAGCAGAGGTCCATCAGTGGCTATTAGCCACAAGGTATAGATAGGGGCTCTGGGGCAAGTGATGCTCTGTCTTCTTGGTGCTTGGGGGGGGGTCAACAGTGGGAGGGCTTCTAATGTCCTGGCCCCACTGGTGGACCTCCTGATGGCACCTGGTATTTCTGGCCACTGTGTGACACAGAGTGTTGGACTGGATGGGCCTTTGGCCTGATCCAACATTGGCGTCTCTTATGTTCTTATTTTCTTATTGCAAAGAAGCATAAAGCAATTACCAGGGTCAATGTTTTCAGAAAAGGTTTTGGAAAAACAGCATCAAATTTATTTATTTATTTACTTCACTTATAGCCCGCCTTTCTTCCCGATGGGGATTCAGAGTGGCTCACCCGGTTCTCCTCTCCTCCATTTTAGAGATGAGATCTAGTGATCAATGGTGTTCTGGGGCTAATGGACAAATTAAAAACCAACAGTTCTCTGGATATTTATAGCATATGGCTCCAGGGTTCTTAACTCCAGGTTTCTTAAGGAACTAAGATCATTCATACAACTAAAGCATGTGAGATCTTAAAAGTCAGCCTCACTTCCAAAGGACCACCAAGTAATAAATGTAATGCCAGTCCAGAGAGGTCTACAGACCAGTTAGCCTAACATCTGTTGTGGGCAGACTGGTGAATGGCATCTGTCCTGGGAAATCTTTTCTCACCAACGTTTTGGAGTTCTTTGAGAGAGTTTTAACACACACATAGGGACAAGGGTTATCCAGGATTAATGATATACTTGGGCTTCCCAAAACCTCACAAAATCATCCAGAATAAAAACTTAGCAGCCAGGGGATTAGACATTAGCAAGTGGTTAAACAACAGGAAGCAGAGGGTCAGAATACGTGGAGAGTTTTTGCGTGGGAATGAAGTAAGCGGTGAGTTCCACAAGGATCAATATTGCCTTTAATGTTTTCTCATAAATGGCCACGTTTTCAGATGACACCAAATTATTCAGGATGGAGCAAATCAAAGCAGATGGTGAAAAGATCCAAAAGGATCTCTCCAAATTGGGTAAGTGTCCAACATTATGATAGGCTCAGTTTAAGTCAGTAAAATCAGGACAGATAAGAGGAAGTGTTCTTATGTCCCTTCCCAGCAGCCAAGCTTATTTCTGGATTTGCAGTAAGGGAACATAGCTACAGAAGGGTAAAACACCAATTGCTGCTGATTGATTCCATCCTGCAAGTCCTCTCTCACCTTGACATTACTAATGTTTGGGGAACATGGGGTTTGGTAAACCTGTGTTTCTCTTGTAATGTCTACCTTATTCCTAAATGGATTATAAAATATTACAGAGGACCTAAGCACAGTCTATGGCTCTAGTACTATTTTTCTACCTCTGCTGGGTCGTAGTGGCTATGAGAACAAAACATAAACATAACTACCTGGAAACTGAGCAATGCGTAAAGAAGGCTGCAGTTGGGGAGTACTGTTCCGTGTATGCTGGGAGCTGCTATTCTGGCTTGAATTATTAGCTGGATTGTTGCTAGAAGATGATCCACATCTACTGTCAACTTCATCAAGGTTTCCTCCACTGTTGTGGCCTGCATTACAGTCTTTCCGCATTCTGACAATTAAAAAATCAAATATCCACAAAGGGAGTCAGGTATATGCATAGAATAAAGCAACAATTTTTCTTTCATAATTGCTTTAACTGTCTTATCAGATGAACACTGGGAACTTCGGCTTGAGTGAAATGTGTGTGCATTCTGGAAAGTAACATCAAAATGGCTGCCCATATAGTATGTCCCAAACCGCCGTTATTTCTGAAGCTCCATCATACAGTTAATGTTCAGCTGAGATTTACATCTGTGCACTTTTAACCTGATGCACATTGTTCATTCCCGCTGTGCTATAGTTTGGATTCTGTGTAGGTTAGTCTGCTGGACATTAATGCCAATGGGGATGGGGAGGGCAGATTGTCCCCCCCATGTGGCTTGCTAATTTGTTAATCCTCTGATGTGCTGAACAGCTTCCACGTTGTGCAACTTTTAAAAATACTTAGTTCATATTAAATTGGCTTTGAATGATCTATTAGATGTTGGCCAACCTGCGAAACTGAGTGCCCCCTTGTACATGGTAGAACTCTACCTGTCAATTTCCCCACCCCCAGATTCCATAACTGTTAATTTCATCATCAGTAGAAGTACTAACAGCTTAATGTACATTGTGGCATCCATTCTAAGTCAGGGCAGCTTCCCAACTGCAAAATAGTGCAATGGTAGAATGGAAGGAGAAAGGAGACCCTTGGAGTACTAGTGGACAGTTTGGAGGGGCACGACATCTGGGTGTGAGGAAATGTGAGTTATGTGAACAATTCAGAAATATTCCACTGGTCATGAGGTGCATATACTTTGTCAAAATAAACATCTCCTAATTTGCACCTCTCCAAGTATAACAAAGGTATGGAGTATAGTAGTAACTGTTAGAACTTGATCGGGATCACTGAAGTAAATCAACAAAATTAGGATAAAACAGGACCTTATTCTTGATTGAGCTTTCATTCTTGAAAAGAGGAGCTCTAGGAAAGTAGCAAATAAACATGGAGCTGCTGTCTTTGCCTTCCACCAATACAAAATGATCAGCACATAGCCCATGTAACTACCAATGTGATCCCAATTATGAGAGTGGGGAGACAGGTTGGAAGTAACTACCTGCCCTAACCCAGTCAATGTATCAAAAAATCTTAAGGTGGGGTAGTGCAGTCATAAAGGAAGTTGCAGATCCCACAGTAATTGCACATGCCTTCTTTGGGATGCCCATCTCGTATCTTAGATGCCTGAGAGCATGCATACATTATTTAAAATATTAGATCAATCAGGACATGATGGAAGGTCTGCTGTCCAGACAGTGCACCAGAGTCTGATGTGCAAGTGATGTGCAAGTGCTTACCTAAGCCACTTAGTTCTGAACCACGTTTTGATGTTGTTCAGGCTAACTGGTCCACCCCAAACTTTCTTCAGTTGCCTGTGTGTCCCTATGTATGATGTGGTTAAAGGAGAAACATACATAGGGTATCCCAAAGGCTGATCACATGAAGAGTTAATCAGGTTTCTCAAAACCTGTTTGTTATTCTGGATGCTGCCTCGCTCTGGGTTACGATTGCGCAAAAAGATTAGTTCCTGTTGCTGTCCAGCCCAGAGACCTCGGACGCATTCCTTATTAACCTAGGCACAAGCAGATGAACAAGTCAAATGAATACACTTCTCAAAAGGAAGACCTGTTCAAGTTGCAGTTCTCTAGTTGCTTCTTCCATGACAATTCCAGAATTAAAATCTACACAACTACATTGGTCATCATGACTCAGTTTAAATATCTTCAAGACGGCTGGATGGCTGTTCTGGCATCCCCTGCCCACCCTGACAACTGCCTTTTTTGCATACAGTGCTGGCGCAGAGGGAAGACACACAGGGGCTGGTGACGGCCCCAACCTCCTCTTTTGACCATCATGCCTAGTGGCTAGGGGGACAGGATGTGGCACACCTTCCTGGAGCATCAGGAAAGCTTGGCAAGGAGGAGACCGAGCTATAGGCAGGTGACAGCTCAACGCCTGGAGCCAGGGTGGCCTTGCCCATCACATCAAGGAGGCACAAACAGAGGAGGCCTGACTCTCCTGCATCTTGCCAGTTGCCCACAATGTGACTGGGTATTAAATGGGGTTGCTCATCCCATACAGTTAATAGTGATGCCAGGAATAAAGCTGCCAGATAGGTGTATCTGTGATCAAATAAGACATGACCAACTTAGTGTGTATGTCTAAAATCAACAGGAAAAAAGTGCTTGGAAGAAGCAACCTATTGAGCTCCATGCACTAGTGGTTTTTAAAAAAACCTATAGCAGTTATATCAGTAAATTTAGTATCTTTTGTTCTCCTTGCAAGTAAAATTTTTCAAAGGAAATTATCTTCGGAGAGTGTTGAGTGAATTCTGTACAGCTCACTTTAAATTTATGCATGTTTTTGCAAGTTTTGTTTGTGATCACTAGAAAAAGCCTCTTGCTTTTTGCTTGAGCACTCATTAAGAATCAAGCAAAACGTGTGAAAAAGCCACCCCCCCTCACGATCCCATTCCCTTCCTCTATTTCCCACAAACTTACTAGGTAGCAGGGAAGCAATAAAATCCTTTTCTTCCTCCTAGAAAAATGTTGCATTAACTGTGTTCCCGGGGCTCCCGACCCTAATCTCCTGGATTCAGGAGCTCTGGTAAACTATGTTTCAATATGTGTTACAGATTGTTTCACAGATGTGCACTTGTGGAAGCTGAAAGGGAAACCTGCCCCATTGATGGGTGTTTCAATGAAGGGAAAAGGAAGGGGTGACAAGGAAGAGAGGCTGGCAGCGGGAGGGGGGGGAGAGAGCACTAGTGAGCTCTTCCCAGTACAATCCAAGTCTGAATTTGAAAGGGCCTGGACACCCTTGCTTTGGGGTAAGCTGTTTTGAACGAAAAGGGGATTTTATTTCAATTTCCCCCAGTTCAGAGTTCATCAATACTACTACAAAGAAATAAGGCAGTTGGCTGTAATTCTCTGGAAACTCATGGCCAAAACTCATCTTCTATTCTATTCTATTCACAGCTCAAACCCCTTTCAAAACCGATGCCTGATTCATAGGTATAGTACACCAGCTGAAATCTGAAGTCTCTCAAAAAGAGCATTCTGATTTTGAAGGATGAAAAGAGCCTTCTTGGGCTTATACTATGTATACACGAAGTTTGGGGAAGCAAAAGCATGCCATAAAATATTCTCTGTAGCTGCACCAGAACTTTGGTTTCTTCTTGGAGAAATGTGGGCTGGTTTGGAGAAGAGCTAGAGATAAGGTGATTATAAAGCAATATTTGTTTTGTTTTCATCCTAAATTGCTTTTCCACTATGCAGTTGATTACCCACCTAGAGTTTCTGAGATGGGAAAAGCAAAAAACATTAAATGAAGAAATATTATTAACATAACAGCAAAACAATGAAATTTAAGCTAGCTGGAGTACCTTGATAACTTTGAAGCTCAAGTAGCTCTTGTGGAGCATAATGACTTTGTATTCGTCTGTCCCTTCATCCACCACATGCCTCAAAGTGAGTAGCTCCTCCTTGTTTGAGAGGATGGCACTACGCCAGGCAGGATCTCCTTCATGGCAAATCACAACTTTTTCTTCAAAAGACTGAATTGCCTCATAAAGGATTGCAGGGTCCTCATATTCATCTGGACAGGTGAACTGGTCCTGGTATTAAATGAAAGGCATGGCTATGATCAGAGAGCTCTGTGAAGAGACAAAGGCTGTCAGCAGTACACCCAATCTTGCTCCTCAGGAGGTGGGTGAGAAGACTGTTGACTTCAGTTAAGATCAAGGGGTCAGGAGGTCAGAGCAGCTGTCACCTTCAGCATCTAAAAGGCTAGCATATCCATCTCACTGAAGTCAGCGCCAAGTCCTCATGGATTTAAAAGGATCGGAATGATTTTTCTTGATTAATTTATGAAATGGACACCTTCTCTGCAGGTCAAAATACAACAGTCTTTTTTTTAAAAAAAACCCTGGTGCTTAAAGTACCCTTGGAGGACATTTTATGATTGGGGAAACTGAGTGTGTTGGGGGGAGAATTAAACCCGCCAGCACTGTAGCCTCTATCCATATCAGGCCATTCTGTGGCTGCTTTTTATGGACATGTTTTGAGTGCTGGATCTGGGAAATCTCTGCATCTCCATCTCTAGATCTGCACGGAAAGGTATGAGAAACTATCATGCCTACAGAACTGGAGCAAAGTCTGGTTGTTTATCTGAAAAGAAAAGATTCAGTAATTAACTCCTATCAATTTAGTGCCTATTTTATACATAAAGGCTGATGCATTAATTTGATGGATGAATAAATAAGCTATGAGTTTGCATGTCCATAACAGATTAATAAAAATGTGCTTGCTAAGAAACTGCAAGACTCCAGCCCCTAGCAAATTAATGATTTTATTTTGTTAAAGTTACTATTTCAGAAGAAAGCCACAACTGCATATTTGCCTTTTCATCTAACGTTCAATTTTCTTTTAATCAATTTTGGAAAGTTATGATCTTCCTTTATACACTTAATATAAAGTTAGCCCTATAGAACATCAAATAGTACTAGCATAAGAAAGTATATGAAGAGGAATAACTTGCCTGATGAAGTTTCAGGGACATTCTGATTGCAGGAGCAACGACTTTGTGCAATAAGTCCATATCTGCAAACACCCATTCATCTCTTGACGTTAGTCGAAAATCTCCTTTGAACAAGGCATGGAGTCCGTATAGGAAGGAATCTAAACTATAGGATAATAACATTAGTTAAGTTACCTGCAGATCTTTTCCCCATTAAACTTTCTGAAAACAATTCTCTTAGTCTCTATTAATACTGCTGCCAACCAGGATCTAGTTAAAGATGACTACAGGCTGCTCATTTCAAGTGTACTTTGCTGATTGTATAGGAAAGGCATAGGGTGTTGCCGGCCGCCCTGAAGCAGAGGACGAGGAGGAGGAGCGCGGAAACGCGCTCACAGAGGCGACCGAACCACTTTTAAAGCTTTTTTTTTCTTGTCTGTATTTTTTTTCCGTTTTTTCTTTTTTCCCTCGCATGATTCCATATCATGAAGAAGGATGTTTGTTTGTTTTGTCTACACGGGTGTACTCCCCAACGAGAACTTGAAAGCGTATGGGACGCTTATCCCTACCTAGAGAACCTCAACCATTAAGGAAGCGGCGGCGGACAGTAAGGAGGAACGAGGACGTGGAAAAAAGCTACGGGACTAAAAGGGAAAGTTTGGCCGAAGGTACTGCTATTAATTTTCCTATGGACTATAACATTTAAGAAAGAAATCGGGACACTTGTTACAAATCAAGCCTATTGAGAGAAAACGGACTTGACTTGGGGATTAAAATGGCGCTGGCGGCGGCTAGCACGCAGATTAAGGACGCAATCCTCGCCGAACTCAGGTCAGACCATTTCAAAAAATCCCTGAAGGAAGAACTAGAGAAATCGCTTGAAAAGGTCTGGGACAAGGTTTTTGGTGATAAACGAGGCATATATGAGGAGGGAGACTGCATTTTGGAACGGTTAAAGGAGACACAGGAGCAGGAGGAGTCACAAGAAATTAAACAAGAAGGTGATTTGCCTACCACTCTATGTCTATTCATTGAACCTGAGCCTAAAGACTTGAATTTAATGGTGTATCGTCCGAAGAAGAAGACACTTTTGAAATCAAACCTCGGGGGGGAAAGACTATTAAAACTTCACCGGAGGAAAAGACAGAAAAAAGATAAGACCTGTGGCAAGCAGTAAATTGATGGTTAGGATAGGATGGGCAGACTTAGCTGAAAAGGAGTTAGTTTCTATGAGAAGAGTAATAGAGGCTGAAGTAAGCCCTATATGTAGAGATTGAACTGCAATACTATTCTTTCTGAAGCGTTACATTTAGAGGTGTCCTATGAAGACAGAAAGAGAGACAATATAATTATTTTATAGTTAACTTGAGCCAAATTTGGATTAGTATATATGTACAACAGATTCAATTTAATTTAAGAGGGATGGGGAGAGATCAAACATACTATGTTTTGTATCAACAATGTAAATTGTTTGTAATTTCAGCAAATTAATTCCTGGTTAAGCAATGATAAGTAGAAGGGAACATTTAATGTTTAGCAGAGCAAGAGTAAGCTAGCTGGAAACAAACAAATGAAGTTTGAGTTATATAGAGAAATAAGGAATATAAGATTAGAACTAAGCATAATTATGATGGAGGTGTTATGGGAAACTATGGATCAACAGCTTTTGAAGTGGTGTATGTTGGTGGTGGGTGTATTTGTTTGTATTTGTTTGGTGGTTTGTTTATTTTTGGAAAATCAATAAAAATATTATTATATAAAAAAGGAAAGGCATAAGAGAGTAGGAAATAAAAAATATTTGTTTATGGCATGAATCAATCAACACTAAACACTTTAAGTGCCATTGTTTTAATTAATTCCTACCCCGATATCAAATGGATGAACTCCACAATCCTATCACTGACTCACAGAGCTGCTGGGTAGCACAGGATTGGTCTGAAACCCCCCATGTGCCAGTAGAGCACAATCCTACACTGGTAGAAACACATTACACCAGTACGGTGACACCCTTATGCTGGCGGAATTCCTTTAATTAAACCTCCTTTAATTTGAATCTGCTGCTTATTTATTTATTGGCAACAAATTCAGGCAAATCAAACCTGAAGAAAATTGTTGCACAATTTTCTGTAAGGACTTACGGAGGCACTGGGATCTACTTCTGCCCTTTCACTCAAATTCTCTCAGACCTAAATAACAGATATTTACACGGAATTCAAGTTTTTACTAAAAACTATGTCTGGAGTAGACCCGAAGCGTGTTTTTTCAGGAAACGAAGTCATACATTTCAGGAAACCAGAATTAGACTTCAGGACATTGGTTGCAGCCCCACAGGATGTTGCTTAATCTACCTGACATGGATTTACAATTTTTACAACAGTGTATTTTTGATTGTATCCTTGGAGTGAAGCATTAGAATGTTCAAGATGCTTATTGCCATGCAAGGTTTCTACTAAGAATGTGTGATCTGTCCACTTAGTGGAGCTTTCAAAATTAGCCAGAATAGGAAAAACATGTTTCATAAGAACAGAACAGCATTTAAGAAAGCACCGAGTCAATATTCAGCTTCAATACATTATGAATTTTATGAATGTTCCTTTTGACTACAGCATATTTACAAGAAAACTAAATGGCAAATAAAAGGAAGACAAATCATTCAAACTTGCTCTTCCTCAATATAACACCCTATCAAAATAACCATGGCAACAGCGTTACAAACCATCCTCTGCAGAAACAGAGCTCTGGATGAAAAGTTTTTATTGCACCTGTGCTCACTATAAGCTTGGGATAATTCTGCTTATTACAGACATTCACTGGAGACCCAGTATGCTGAAGGTAAACAGCCAGCATTTCCTAATAACAATCCATTGCCTCTGCAAAGGAGATTAACATTAGAAACAAAATAGCAGGAGACAATTCAGTAGCCCAATTATTTTAAATATTTTATATGTCTTTCAGAGCAGTACAATGAAATCATGTTACTAAAATAAACTAAAATATGCACATTTTATTACTGCACTGTAGTTGTTTCAAACGACCTGCATTACTTTTTCTAGCACTCAGCAAATTTATTGCACTGCCTTGGTTTAATGTGCATTGTTTTTCAAAGTATTCTTGGACTTCTTTTCTCCCTCTTAGTCTGTTGTCCCAGTTTTCATGTACACAAGCTTTTAGCTGTAGTGGCCACAATTCGGAAGGCAATTTTAGGTGCATCCATTTTGCATAACTTGGACTACAATCCTATGTACATATACTTAGCAGTAACCCTTATTGAACGAATGGAACTTACTCTTGAAGAAAGGTGCTTAAATTCAGGTTGATGATTCTTTGTCCTGCAGGTGCCGTATCAGACATTTCTTCTAAAACTATCTTGCCACTACTTAGATACAGGGTTACTTGGGGCCAAACTAAGTGTGACGGAGAACTTGTGGCCACCATGAGTTCACTGTTGCCATTCTGAACTGATTTAAATTGCTGGCTGGGCCCATGCCATGGAACTCTTCCTTCCCGGGCCCTTTCAAGTGCCCAAACAGCCTTCGGGGGGGGGGCGCATCCCCCCCATCCCGTGGCTGATTTGGCACTTGAAAAAGCAAGGAGGGCGAAGGGCTCCACAGCGTGGAAAATGGTAGTTGAGAAAAGTACACAGAAAAGTTGCCAACGTATATGCCTCTGCATTTACAGCAGCAATGTATGCCAAATGGAGAATTCTTGCTGTGTGGAAGCAATTTATAAACCAATGTATTTATAAAACAATGTATTCCTTATCTCAATAAATATAGTTAAATTTCTACACACAATTCAGTTTGAATTAATGTTTTGTGGGTTTTGAAACATTTAACCTAATGAGATCATTTAAATCCCAGTACAGAAATTATGTGGACCTTCTTGATGACTGTAGACAGAATGTTAACTATAAACATATTCTAGATACACTTAGAAACAACTCAGGCCAGTTAAACCATATTTGCCAGACTAGCACTGCAGTCCCAAGTGTCAAACTCGCTGTCTCGTTTGCCATGTTTTGGGGAAATTCCAGAGGAGGGGGGAGTGTGACTGTGTGAGAGTGAGAATGGCTTTATTGTAGGACAATGCATCTCATGTAACTTTCCCAGGGATGTCCACCAGATGGCCTTGGTCTGTCTCTGAGTTTGCCAGTTTAGCTGAGATAACAAACAGATAATTTACAGGTGTGTGTGTGTGGGGGGGGGGGGGTTGGAAGAAAACGGGTTGGGAAAAAAAAAGGTGGTGGGGGGGGACACTTGGTAACCAGGGGTGTGTGGGGGGGGGGGGGTTGCGCCAGCATCTCAGTTCTGACTCAACAACATTCTTAGCTTGGAACATCTTTATTCTTTAATAAACAAATCACCTTCAGTGAGTGTTGTTGAGACTAACTTTGTCCAAGACTCTGACACCAAGGGGAGTTACACCTTTCTAAATACACTGGTTAATTAGTTAGAAGGGTGTAACTCTGCTTAAGACTGCATTGTAACTGACTGCATATCCAGCACTCAGGACTGTGCTTAGGATGAGTTTTCCTGGCTGGGGGCTCTCTTCTAATGTCAGCTCTAATTACCTGTTTGGATGACAGTATACATAGAGATTGAATTGGTTTGCAACAGAGGCACAATGGTATATGTCAAGTATGAACACCAAAGGACCTTTTTAAAGTCCCCGGGTGCACATTTCCATGAACAGGGTAATTCTAGAAAATACTTAGTAAGATTTTCTACAATGATACAAACATACATGAAAGATGCCTTATTGGTCCATTAAAGTCAGTATTGTCTGTTTTGACTGGCTGTATCTCTCCAGGGCCTCAGGTAGAAGTTTTTACATCTTCTCATACCCTTTTTAATTGGAGATACCAGGGGCTGAACCTGGGACCTTCTGTATGAAAAGCACATATTATCTATGCGAGCCATGGTCTATCCCCAATTAGTCATTCTGCAGTATGACCTTAAAATGCTAGTACATTAGAAATCTAAATAGGCGATCTCTGTATCATGGAACCACAGAACATGTTAATGCACTTCATTTTTTCCCATCCCCCCCCCCCCAATTTCTGCAATGCCTTCTTTCATTGGGGAAATTCCTTTCCCCTAAACTTTGACAAGGGAAGAGGAAGACTCTACTCTTTCTGCTCCTGGGATTCAAAAGTTTCTTGAAATT